ATCACGCTTGTGAAAACGTACCCACATTCATGTACAAGTAATACTAATAAAGTTCAATACTCTTAGGAGGTCGATAGTCTATCTCTTAGGACCTCGGCCATGAAACATGACCTAGTAGTCCCTGGGGACTCCGGCCATCCAACACGGTCTCGAGCAAAATGGGTGTTGGGCAGTTTGCTTCCACTCACCAGGGGACAGCTTTGCGTCGCCACCCCCGGTGCCCATTGAGTCATGCGGTCTGGGCGTTGGTTTGGCGCGGCTTTGCTTCCTCTCCGGTGAAGGTGTTGCGTTACCTCACCCCACCATCCAGGGAGTCCTACGTTCCTTGGTGTGGCACGGCTTTACCTACACTCCGGGGATGGTGTTGCGTTACCTCACCCCACCGTCCAGGGAGTCCTACGTTCCTTGGTGTGGCACGGCTTTACCTACACTCCGGTCATGGTGTTGCGTTACCTCACCCCACCATCCAGGGAGTCCTACGTTACTTGGTGTGGCACGGCTTTACCTACACTACGGGGATGGTGTTGCGTTACCTCACCCAACCGTCCAGGGAGTCCTACGTTCCTTGGTGTGGCACGGCTTTACCTACACTCCGGGGATGGTGTTGCGTTACCTCACCCCACCGTCCAGGTAGTCCTACGTTCCTTGGTGTGGTTCGGCTTTACCTACACTCCGGGGATGGTGTTGCGTTACCTCACCCCACCGTCCAGGGAGTCCTACGTTCCTTGGTGTGGCACGGCTTTACCTACACTACGGGGATGGTGTTGCGTTACCTCACCCCACCGTCCAGGGAGCCGTACGTTCCTTGGTGTGGCACGGCTTTACCTCCTCTCCGGGAGTAGTCTCGAGTTTAACTTTCTCCCACCGTCCGAGGAGCCGTACGTTCCTTTGTGTGGCACGGCTTTACCTCCTCTCCGGGAGTAGTCTTGAGCTTAACTTTCTCCCACCGTCCAGGGAGCCGTATGTTCCTTGGTGTGGCACGGCTTTACCTCCACTCCGGGAGTAGTCTCGAGCTTAACTTTCTCCCACCGTTCCTGGGAGTTGTGTGGACGTGGGTCAGAACGGCTTTGCTCTCCGGGGAAGGTGTTGCGTACCTCACCCCACCGTTCCGGGAGTAGTTCGGGCGGGACTTTGTCGGGACGAAACGGTCACCTAGGAGCGGCTTTCTCAAGGCCGCATGCTTTTAATCCTCAGCAAGCGTTTTTAAAAGAAAACCCAAGCCTCATATCCATTATCGGCGACACGTCATCATGTTAGCGCGCAACCTCCGTTGCGTGGGAAATCATGCATTTTGCTTGGATCTGTTAGCTTCAGGAGTCTCCTCCCTACTAATCTTCCACACCACGCAAGAGGTAAGATCCGTGTGACACCTCCGAATTTCTTCAGGGGGGGTGTGCTCGCCGACCTAGATAGGTCAGGTCACAGCGAAGACAAGTAATACTAAAATTCCTTATTTGTTTTATTAATCTTGTTTCTGGTTGACGTTTGTTCTGAGTTCAACGCACTTTTTACAAAAAAAAGTGTGTGTGTGGGGGGTGGGGGGGTGGGTGTGTGTGAGGGCGGCGGGGGTGTCAGTGACTCTCGTCTACAGAAGACGTTACTTTTTTAACTTTCGGGCGTCTTCTATAAATTGTGTCCTTTTATTATTTTTTTTTTTCTGTCGAGGTCAACGTTTTAAGCCATTTAACCTCCTTAAGTCGCTAAATGCAAAACAGTCGGCACGCTGCTAAAAGGGGAGGAATTTGTTTAGGGGGCGGCCTTGGAAAAATAATAGACTAACGCGATAAAAGCCAGTAGGAAATGTATAGCATCCCAAAAAGTCGATAAACAGGTTTATTTATAGATTTGTAACGCTGACTCCTAGTGGCGTCAAACACACTTACAGCATTATGTTATGATCTCTTAAACTTTTTCTTTGGAACAATTCCATGTCGGCTTTAGTTGCCTTCAAAATCTGGCTGTATGCTCAGATACATATTTTTTTCACTATTTTCTATTCATTTAAATTTACAATTCTATTGATAGAGATTTCTGTTGGCCAAAAAGGCAGTTGCTTTCTTATGTATATAGGTTATAATAACATTTTGTAAATGGGGTTTGGGGGAGGGTACTGTGTGCCCCCCCCCCCCAAAAAAAAGACAAAATGTGGCAATATGTGACACCAATAATTAAAAAAGAGATTTCTTTTGGCCAAAAAGGCAGTTGCTTTCTTATGGATATAGGTTATAATAACATTTTGTAAATGGGGTTTGGGGGAGGGTACTGTGTGCCCCCCCCCCCCCAAAAAAAAGACAAAATGTGGCAATATGTGACACCAATTATTAAAAAGCTGAGTGTGCAGAGAATCTTACGGGCCATTCTTGTTTAAATTGGTCTTGGGAATATGCAAAGAGTGACAAGTAGGGTTGAGCCGAGTGCAGCTATTTACACCCGGCCAGGGTCCGGGTATTTTAATAAAATATCTGGCGGGTTCGAATACTGGTCTTGAAGAAGAGAAATGAAAAAAATGGGATTAATGATCATCTAAGGCGAAGGTTTCAAAACTCCAATGGCTTAGTAATATAATTTAAAAACCAGCGGTTCTCAACCTTTTTTGCGCCGCGACCCCTGATAAACCACAACCATAATTATATCTTGAAATTGATAAAAAGTTGTTGAGAAAAAGGGGGAGGGGTGAGCTTTTTGGTGTTGTTGATAAAAAGGTGTTGGTACTGTAATTTTGAACGGGGGTGGAGGGAAGCAAAAATAAGGGCTAAGATGGGTAACGGTTCCTGTAGAACCTCCGGTTTTAAGTTAAGAAGAAAAAATGCCATGCCATAACCAAAGATTTGCATCTTGGTAAGAAAATGACAACATGTACATTATTATTTTCAGAGCTTTGCAAATTCATTAAGATTACATAATTTTTTCACACTAATGGCAAGCCAGTTTTCTATGTCAAATGTACCCCAAAAAATATGTAAAAAAGGCGTGCCTAGGTTCGATTTGTTGCCGGGTCCGGTTACGTGCCGGAAGTGACATATTAGGAATGTCCGGGTAACTGGGTCAGTACGCTGCCCAGCGCTTGTTTTAAGCTTCTTGAGTATCTTTAACTCTAATGAATGGCAACGTTTTGCTATTATTTTGCGAATGTAGGATTTTTTTCTTTCGAGCTATCATCAACGTAAGGGGCGGACTCCCAAAAGTGCACCTCTGATACAATTCTCGTTCATAATGTCATATCAAAACCCCAGTGGTCATGTTCTACAGGAACGCGTGGGAATATTTCTTTTTGGGGAAAAGTTGTTGAGGAATCTAGGGTGTGTTCCTTAACTTTTTTTCCCCAGGACTTGATCCCAGAATTAAATTCCAAAAGTGCTGCTCAGGGTGGTGACCCCCTTCGCACCCCCTTAGGTACCCTTCTGATTATAAGACGGTTAAAAAAAAATCATTTAAAAAAAAATAAATCTTCCGAGTGTCATTGAAAATGTTCTGCGTGCCATCGTAAATTTTCTGGGTTTCACTGAAAATTTTCTGGGTGCCACATATTTTTTTACATTCTTAATTCCTTATCTGCCAAAACGTATTAACTTTCGGAGTCGAGAGAGAGAGAGAGAAGCCACGGCCACGCGAATTTAAAATAAAAAAAAATGAGCTCACGTTCGATATGTTGTTAAAAAGACTAGACTAAAGTCATAAGACTTGTTCACTGGTTTAAAATGCCTTAAAATATCCAGTAACAATTTTCATTAACTACAGCTGAGGGAGATTGAACACACACACAAAACTTTGCTATTTAGAATTTTATCAGTGAATATTTGAATTATGAAAGCCTACGATACTGTGTTAAAATGTAGGCTTTTGTGAATATGAGCCAACTAGGCCCACTTCCACCCACCACAGCACTACATCGTACATATGTATACCGACAAATATATTGGCTACATACAGGTCAGGGCTTTGGAGATGAGTATATAAAAAATAGTGTTAGGAGTTTTCAGTTACGCTTGCGATAAGATATGAAACATAAAAAAAATAAAAATTTTCACGGACTTCACGTAACCTCTCAGTGAACACGACAAATGTAGAGCAACTAGACAAATACGCTGATGTAGCATATATAGACAAATACGCTGATGTAGCATATATAGACAAATACGCTGATGTAGCATATATAGACAAATACGCTGATGTAGCATATATAGACAAATACGCTGATGTAGCACAAATGTTCTCTTTGGAAACTGTCTTGAATAATTAAGGCTAAACTCGTTTTATTTTGGGATTTCGTAAGAATACTTGGTTTATTAAATAAAAAATTTGAAGGGCGTAGGGTGGGGGTTTCTTAGACTTATTATTTGTGTAGATTAGGAAACTCTTCTTGTAAGTGTAAAACTCCCGACTTTGAGGCGATGTCCTTCCGTCCATTAATTTTGGTTTAACATTTTAAAGGTAGTTTAAAAAAAATAATATTTTTTTACATTATTAAAAAAAAAAACTCATTTGTAAAACCAGTAGGCCTATACATAGATCAGCACTTGGGCCCACTCCCTGACCTTGCCATTCATTTATCACGATCCGAGAAGAAGCGTTTCCGTCAATTTTATTAGCTGCACGCCTTTTGTTTCTTCTCTCCCCGTCTTGAAGTTGAAGAGCTCTAAGTTCAATGTCGTCTGGTTAAAAAAAAAAACTTTTAATAAAGTGTCGCTAAAATTACCACCAAACCCCTAGCGTTTCCACTATCCCCCATAAGACTTGTAAGGAAAGAAGCCTTTTATTTTTAGCACAAGTCAAAAGCGAGAGGTTTCAGCTTACATGACAGGACGTGAAATGTTTACATAATGTCATAAATTAAAAACTTAAGGTCAGTGTGGACTGTGTGAGTGTGGTCCGTACGATTGTACCGGATCTCCTGAAAAGAAAGCGTTTGGCTTTCACCTCAAGATATTCTGACAAATTTAAACAATCTTTGGAAAAAAAAAAACAATAAATAAAAAAAAACAAAAAACAACTGTTGGGTCTTAAAGAAAATTACGGAAGGGTTTTAATCTGTAAGAGCATAATAAAATATAGCTTCCTTAGAAAATGTAGGCCTAAACATGAACAATTACAATTATTATTTATATTTAATAAAACTCAAAAAAACAACAACAGAATTGCAATAACATTTAATAAATAGCAGCACAGTCATCAAGAAAAAACATTTCTCATAATCCAAATAATTTAACCATAAACAAGTTGTAAACAAAAATCACATACATTACATATTGAATGGTTATCTGCTTCAAGCAAGTAACATGCAAATAAATTCAAGTTATATTTAACTATTGTGATTGATCTCTAAATGTTTAACAGCTGTCACTTGCTGGTGGACTGGGTCTGTCCCCCCTAACTCCACCCCCACAACCAAAAGAGAATCTATCACTGATGAAGCAAGACATGAGTACCCAACTGCTGTTTTAACATTTTGTTTTGAGTACAAACTGCGATTCAGTTGCAGATAGAAAGTAAGTGGACTTTTCACACAACTAAAATATCTTTAACATTAAATTGCAGCAACATTATAATAATCAATCTTTGAATTGATACATTAATGGGATTTAAATTACAATTAAACTGGAACTTTTGATTGCACTGAATAACAAACAAAAAAATAGGTCAATGTTCTATTACAGATTGGTAATCATTTGAAATTCAAGGTAGGTCAGTTATCAGGGTAAACTGGGATAACTGCCACATTTTTTATGTAGTGTTTACTTTGAATCTGTTGTGTAAATATACAAATATAGATATCAGTAGTGGCCAGAGTGTGGTTCATGAGCAGAATGGAGCCTGCAGGACAACATGGTGTAGTTCCTGCTATTCATTTAAAATACTTTTTAAAAAAAAAGTTAATCTTTTTTACTAAAAAATTAGAGATATGATTTTATTGAGTGAACTAATTTTTGGGGTAAATCAGTATTAAATCCGGCAGTTGTAGTTTAAAGGGTAAGATTACAGCTATTTTGCATTGTAGCGAGTTATGCACCAATATGGCCCAGTGCTTCATATTTCAAAAATATATCAGCAATCAGCAGATAATTTTACTCAAGGATTCCCCATATTCCCTTTTGACCCCAATGCATTACTGGGGTCATGAATTAAATTCCACTCAATTATTTTACCCATAGGTGGGGACAAATCCTTACATTCTAACACACTACCCCCAGGTTGGGAGGCAGACAAAGTTACTTTTGCCTCATGGGGCTGCCCGGATCTTAATTAAAATTTAATGACTTCCCTTATTATATTGATGGCTTATTGAACAATGTTGGAAGACAGTCCCATGATTGTGGAAGTGGGGAAGGCCATGGGTTAACAATATATGCAAGCAGCATTTCAAACTGGTTACGATATTGTTGACATAATACCTATCGTGTACAAAAGGGCTCTCTTAAAAAAAAAGAACAATTATGGTCTTTGATCTTTTTTTAAGGTGCTATTATTTTAAGTTTGGTCATGTGACTACTCAAGGTAACAAATGTGTAATGGATGTAGTTTTTTAACATCAGCAGTGAAATGACACATGTTCTATTGAAATATAAACAAAGTAAAAATATAAAAATCAATTACACAAGGAAATATAGAATATTATACTATGTCTGTGTTAGAAAAAGATTTGGAAAGAATCGCAGGCCTTCAATAGTTTCATCTCTACACAGTCCTCCCATCTTTTCAGTTAGTAGGAGTCTACCAAAAAAATAAATAAATTATTATGAGTTATTTTTTTCCTTAGGTCCAAGGATTTTCAGATCAGCTTGAAGTATGTGATAAATATGATATCAGTAGTCAATCAGTAGTTATTACCATTATATCAGTAGTGTGTTACCCTGATTATCAGTAATCAATCAGAAGTGTGTTACTATGATATCAGTAGCATTTTACCATGTCAGTAGTCTGTTACCATATCAGTGGTGTGTTACCATATCAGTAGTGTGTTACCAAATCAGTAGTGTATTACTGTATCAGTAGTGTGTTACCATATCAGTAGTGTGTTACCGTATCAGTAGTGTGTTACCTACTCAGTAGTGTGTTACCATATTAGTGGTGTGTTACCATGATATCAATAGTATATTACCAACAGTTTAATTTAAAAACAATCAACAAGAATATGTTTTCCTGGAAATTGGTGGCATGAGTGAAATAGGTGGCATGGGTGAAATGGCAATGTGTTGTTATTATGTAGGCCTATATAAATTAAATAAAATCTCTATAATTTTGAAGTACCTGGATGTTATGTAAGTTAAGCCAATATTTTAAAGTAAAAAGAGTAGTTTATATCCTAATAAAGTTTCTTACCGACATAATTAGATCAGGGTAAATGCCAAAAACATCAACAAGACAAGATTTAGAAACTTTGCTCATACTCACCTCTCTTTGGCTAAAACAACAGACAACTCTAAGAACTGAGCCAGTTGCTCAGAAGTCAAAGACCCATGCTTTTGTACCTAAAGATAATTGCACGGTTAAATATTGTATTTATAAAGAAACCTAAGAAACCTCCCAAATAATATGTTCAGTTTAAGTAACTATTGGAAATTTTATAGAAATTTAAAAAAAAAATTCAATAACATAAGAGGAGGATTTGTGGCAGAATCTTTCGGTATTTAATTATATTTTTTGATCTACTTCATCTTTCTTAGTTATCAGGATGAATACATTTTTAAGGAAAATGTCATGACATATGATATCAATGCTATTCTTGAGTTTAATTTTACCTCCAAATGACCACAACCCTCTTTTAAAATCTATGGTACAGTGGTGGGGGGGGGGGGGTGTGTGTGTTTGTGTGTGTGAAATTTTCAGCCAACTGCAGAGTTTTTGTCATTTAAAAAAAAAAGGGGGTGGGGGGAGCAAAAACTTGACCCGCCCCAGGCTAAACCTAGCTACACCACTGCTAGGACATAATCTATTTCGTTTCCAAAACGAGATTCATTAAGGTGGTACAAAATTCTGATTCATCAGTCAGACAAGCCTGGCTCACTGATTAAGCTACATATTTAAAATTAAAACATTTAATCTGGGCACTCTAATACTAGTTCCGCTAAGCCGCTGGAGATATTAGAATAAGGGTGCTAACATTTGAGATCCCAATTTTAGAGCAATATCGTACAAGTAATTTAGATTAAATTAGTGACAGAACACTAATTTCTATAGATACCATATCTGCATCATATTTAATTATTTGTAGATAGGATTGACTCATGAGCAGCTCAATATAAATTATGGAATTTCACACTAGCAGTCTGACAATTAGCCTTTGTACATGCTGTATACTCCTCATTTTCATGGGAGTGTAATCAGCACTATGATGATTTTTATGCAGCTCAAAAACATTAATCTTAAAGCCAGTAAAAGTTCAATTTTTTAAGTTGTCTCATTAACAGGAAAATATCATTATAAATCCTTCCCCAATATCTGGAGTTGGTTATACCCTAGTAAAGTCTCAGTAATGCTGTAGTTTAATCATACCCTAGTGAAGTCTCATAGTGATGTTATAGTTTAACAATATTTCAGAATAAAAAAGCCCAGTTTCAGTTAAACAAGATTAAAATCTCCTCTCATCTTATCTCACCATTGCAGTTGTATTTGTGACTATTTCTTCCACATCTTGATTCTGAGCCTGAAGGACTGACACGCCGCTGTCAAAAGTCTGCAGTCTGGGAACAAAAAAAACACATCCACAATGATTTGAGAAATATTTCAGATGAGATGATGTGAATTTATTTATTAACATTCAAGTTCAAGACATGTTAAATCATCTCATAAGATAAAGGCTTCATCCAAAGATTTGATGAAGTGACATATTTAATATGCCAACCAACCTGCCAAATCTTGCTCTGCACACTGCTTAATAATGCAACTCATATACTGAAATTGTCCATAGATTGAAATTGAAAGTCTTATTATTATTTGGAGTACCCAATTTCCAGGCAAAATAAAAATGTTTGAGAAATTTGACATGAAATTCAAAAAAATGTTAACCCTGAATTTCATATTTAATTTGAGCTCTTTTGTATACACAGTATAAGATTTTGAACAACCCATCTTCAAATAACTTTTGAGGTTTTGTTATAAAACATGGCCCACTCTAACACAAGAAAAAAATACATGTAAACTACAATCTACTTAAACTTTCATTTAGTCACCCACCTTATGGGTAGACTGAGGAACTCCATGGACTGACAGGCAGAGAACAAGTCTTCAGGGGAGAGCAACTGGTTAAAAAAAAGTAAAAAAAAAAAGGTCTAATTCAAATGACATATTACTGGTCTGTGCTGATGATAGTTAACATCAAACAAAAAAAATTCTTCTTACTGATGATATGTCAATATGTTTATAAAAAACAGTCTAGTCTACGTACAGGGTAAATGTTATCAGAATTAAAATGGAAAAATATCCATAAATATCAAATCAGATTAAAAAAAAAAAAATGTAGACATTACAGTTCAGTGGAATTTAAAATATTAAAAAAATTAAGCTCAACAAAATGTCTCAGGGCATACAGTTAACCTTTTAGGGGTCATCAGTATATTTTAATTCAAAAAGTCAAATTTTAGACTCCCCATACATCCTGTATTTTTCCTAAAATCCCCATATGTGTACATACATTGAGCTCTCACCCACTTTCACAACCCCCCAAAAAAAACAACAAAACACCATAAAAAACCCCCATTTATTTATAGATCATCATAATAACATTCAAGACAATTAAATGAAGTCAATTCACCATAAACCAGTTTTTTTCTAATTTTTGGCGTACACCCAACAGAGGGAGGCAACTTGAAGTCAATGGGAAGACTTAATAAGATGGTCTCTGGGGCAGCGCATAGGAAGTTAACCACCTTTATTGTTCATCAAATACAATGGGTCACCAGGGGAAATATGTTGTGATATCTAGCGAGTTATTTGTGAAAACACAAAGCAACAGCATGACAGCATGTATGCAAAATCTTTAAAAATCAACAACCGCCAAGAGCGTCCTTAATATTTTAATGACCCCTTATATAAATAATCTTTACTATTGAAAACTTTTTGGGTTTATATTAGGTAATAAAACTGATAAAAGAAAATAAAACAAAGAATTTGATAATGTTAAAATGTTCGTAATTTCAAAGCATTTATTACCTCCATTCCTCTTGCTCGATTGACCCTGCAGTAAACATCAGTCAAGGTCATCATACCTCCACAATCCTGAAATATGAACATTTTTATTACAAAAATAGTGCATTGCCGACAGTATACAAATTATCTGGATTTTTATCTGGTCTTTACTAAGGAGAATTTTAAATTTAAATCTCTTATGAATCAAAGTTTAATGCTGCTTCTGTCACACATTTTAAATCCTTTCTAAGCAAATAAAAATCATTGTTGATTTTATTTTACTTTTACACATGATATTTGGAAGAAAAAGAGTTTCCAACAATGAGTTAAAGTTAGTATTTGTATGAAAAATTCTTGTTTTAACAATATAAATTATTTAGATCCCGTTAAAGTTAAAGAGTATTTCTATGATCTGAACTTACAGAATGAACTGCTGTTTGCTTTTTATTATTTGTTGGTAATAACTGCTTTTAGATCAATGCTTATGTATAGGGTTTATTGCAAATTAAAGAAAATGAATTGTACACATGTAAAAATAAGGTCAAAGGTATACAGTACCTCAATGGGCTTTGCTAGAAGAGTAGACAGCTGTTTGGCTAATTCTATGTAATATTTATCTCCTGTGCCATGCGTTTCCTTGGTTACAGGATTGGGAATTCCCATGCTCAGCAAATAGGACTTAAATTTTATTGTCTGCAATGGAAAGGATATTTGCATTTTATAGTAAACGAACAGCATTCATATTTAATATTTAGATTAGAATATATTTTTAATAGAAAATTTTTCATAATTTCAAATAAGGACTCCTTACTTAAAGGAGTGCAACTTTTAAAAAAAAAGTAAATTTCCTTAAAAATGACAATCTAACTTATACTTATACCTTTAAAGTATTCAATAACTAAATTCATAAAGTGTTAGACAACTGTTCAATAAAATAAAATGTTTTGCTATTGAGAGAAAGATTGTGCTCCTAAAGGCCGGGTGATGGAACACTGCTTGAATACTATTGTTCATATTTTTAAAGATCGAAATTTACAAAAAAATGAAAGTTTGCAAAATAATAAGATGAAATTGCAACAGCTGCAACTTCTTATTCTTAGTAATTTCTGTGCCCTGCATTACTGAAAAGTATTTTAATTACTGGTACAGTAAGCTTATTTCACAATTTTATATCATAATGCAAGGCATAAAATGAAACATCAACAAGGTCACAACCTCATCTTCAGTGATTTCTCCCTGCTTGTCTTTGATCTTTGTTGCTATGGTTTTACTCAAGGCCACCATCTCTTTAGCCTGCGTAAAATGTCAGTCACAAATATTTTATTGATCATAAAAACATATTTGTTCAAAATGACATAATTAAAAAATTGGTACTTGCAAAGCTGCTGCAAGAATGCAGAAAAAAATAATTAGGCCTGTTTAAGAGATACAACCTGATGCTAAATTTAAAGTCACTTTATCTGAGAGTTAATACCATCAAGTACCAGGATGTGTAAAAACCTGAAGCATTGAGGTGTATGATAGATTTTAACTGAACCCAAGCTGCATGTGAAATGGATATTTTAAAATAAAAAAAATAAATTATAATAGTTTCACACTACCACTTGATAAAAAGAATCATTAGTTTTATTTAAATATTCAAAGTTAATGAATAACATTGGTTGAAAATTGGCCATGTAAGAGCAACATGAGTCTCCCAAGCTGATGATTCCTGGTTGTACAGGATGTTTCTGTTGCCCATTATCAATGCTATAGACCTGTGTAGTAAAAAGGAAACTCTGTGGAAATTTTTTATTACTTTCTCCATTAGATTGCGCAGGTCCAGGAAAGCTTGTGAGATATTCTTGTTGGTTTCTTTATTCTTTTGTTGTATGGATCTTTCAATACCAACGATGCCTGGCCTCTGTCTAGGCAGCTGTGAACAGTTTCAGTTAGGAATTATTATAACGGTGCAATGGAAATTTTAATCATGCTAATTTAAATTCATGAATAGAATGATTATCATAAAATTATTTCTGTAGCTTCAATTTTAAACTAAGCCAAATCAGGTATTGAAATAAACAGGTCAGGCAATACAGAAAATTGAAGGTCAGCACATAATATATGATGAAGCTGAATATCTGTACATTTTCACAAGTCTAAGTTTACTACCATCCCCTTGGTCCTTGTCACTAGGCTAACATCAATTACAGATGTAGGCCTAATAGTGCTTTTGTTAATGATAACTCAGAAAATTTTTTATGGATTCTGAGTTATCATTACAAAAGATTATCAACATCACTTCTGTATCAACTTCAATAGTTTCTACTTAGATGGAAACTCCCATCATCTAAGCTTGCCATTAAACTACTCAAGAGGTCGGAAAGCTTTTCTCAACTTCTAAGTCTCATAACTTATTGAAAAAGAAACTAAAACATTATAGAACTTAGGTTGAATGAGCCCTGAATGAGCATAAAACAGTAAAAGGTGGTATGCAATGTGATTAACAGGAATGTGTGGGATTGGTTTGGAAGCCGTAGTATAAGCAGGAGTGTGGTCAGAGTAAAAAATTGTAGAAAATCTTGTGACTGTAGTACTTCATTACAGGGTGTTTTCACTACTTTACTAAACATTATAAATTATACTGATACTGATAAAAAAGGGTAACCTCCTGTGTAGATAAATATGTTGCTATGTGCCAATTAATAAAAATTATAATTAAATTAATTAAAGAACTCAATTTGAACAATACACAATGTTTATTTGGATACAAATACTCTCTAACTGGTTGTAGAATTTACTTTAGTGGAAGTCACTGGTGGGCTAATTTTAGACATGATCTAAATTTAAACAATCAACTGTGACCTATAAGGCAGAAATACTTCCTCTCAAAAGTTAAAGTTTTAAGTTTTATAAAACACAATCTTTCTTTAAAACATAAGCAAGATTTTAAAATAATTTTAAGTTTGAGACATCTTTCATTTACAATACATTTTGAACATCAACTTGTAAGTTGCCTGAGTCATAAAATTTCATTTTTATTTGTGAGCACATGGTAGACCTGGATAGCTTCATTTATACTTAGCTTTTAATGTCTTAGTTTTAAATTGTTCTAGTTTAAAAATTGTTATCTTGATCAGAATGTTTATCCAAATGCTGAAAGTGAAAATGTACAAAGTAATCAAAACACATTTTCATGTATTTGATTAATAAAAGAATATTATCTTATGTGTATTATCTTATCTTATATTGCAAAATGTTAGGGCTTATCCAACAATAATTGGTTCGCTTACCAAGCCAGTAGTATTGCTTGCACTTGCACCTAATGCAGGAGGAGATTGGGACTGGACTTCCCATTTTTTCTGTTTTATTTCTTCTTTTAGATATTTGAGAAACTGTAAAGAAAAGTTGTTTTTTTTAATTTGTCTATTATAGTTATAGTCTATAAAAAGCTCATACAGATTTAAGAATGACTATTATAAAATTGTGTTCTGCAATCAGCAGTTACTGGTACATTAGAAAATTTTAAAGCAAGGTAAATGTAACACAAACCTCTTGATGCCCCAGCTCTCTAAAAGATAATCTTATATAATGATATGCACTATTTGTTACTGGACCAGGTGGACGGCCAGGTTCAGCTGGGCCCAGGTGAAGAACAATTTTGGCACTGAAATGGAGAAATTAAATTTCATTATGCTAAACGTACAATAAAATAGGCTGAGAAAATTATGAAAGACAGTCATTTCTAAAATTTGTATAAACAACAGAGGATTTTTGCATGTGAGAAATAGCCGCAACCAAATTCTGTAGTTGTGACAAACAGGGCAGGATTTAGCTAACCAGAGGCCCTTGGCTATTCAAATTTTGAGGACTCTAGCTATTCAAATTTTTATGCTCCTTGCAATCACATCAACCCGCACAAAAACAAACACACAATTATTGCTAGTAAACTGATATGTATTTTATTTTTACCTTTTAATGGACTATCAAAATTGGCCAATTAGTTATTATAAAAACTATAAAATTTATAGCCAGGAAATTCTTCTCAAGATAGCTACATCTACCTGACAATGACAATAAATATTACTAATCATATTAAACATTCTGTTTCAGAATACATTTCGATAGATACTGGTAAATAATTGTGTGTGCCTACCTCATAGCGAAATAGTCCAAGTTAATCAAAATCAGTTTTTAGTAATTTACAACTTTCAAATCTGAGAAAGGTAAATACGGATTACCTCTCTTAAGAATTCACGGCCATTTAATTTAATAAATTTTAATTCTTTTGAGTTTTGAAAAATACTTCATTCAGGAGCAATTAGTGACCATCAAACTAAAAAAAAAATCATAAGACTGCTTAGGCCTATAAAACGACAGAAGCCCATCCTTGTATGTCATTTGATAAAGGTCTGCATGAGGCAGGATGAGTTCTTCTGTGGACCCATGGTTTTGAAATTGATCCACAGCAATGAAAATGTAAAAGTTCATCCCCAAGTTCAAAATCAACATCTTGGGGATGTGTTCAACAGTTTAACAACCTGTTGAATATCTTGCTTAGAAACCATTGGATTAGCAAGAAAGAAACATCTTTTTGCAATGTCATTATACCCAGTTTCTCTTCCTTCTCAATTAGTCGCAACAAATGATTTTATCCTGAATTAGTTTTTTGAGTGAGATTTTATCGAACGCATCAGGTGCACTTTCGATGTTTACTTCAGGCTGTTTTCTTATTCATCGTCTTCTTAGTTAGGACATTTTTAAAGTCAAATTTTGACAAGGTGAATTTGGCTGGTTGCTCAAGTTTATCAAAATCTTTAATAATTTTGCTTTAAAAAATCTTCAAATGAAATGAAAAAAACTTCGCAAGAACTTATTTTTTTTTTAATAGTTTAGCTGACTTAAAGAATATAACCAAACAGTTGGTATAAAAAAATGTAACATTAACACAAATTTAAAATCTTCCTTTTTACAGAAAAAAAAAAGCATTGGATTTAAGCCTGTAATTGCCTTTTCCATTTATATCAGAGTATAGATAACTAAGTGCTTCAGTGATAGCACTGTAGATTTCCAAAATAGCCTCAGTTAAATCATTTCTGATAGATTTAAAAAAAAAATATTTGGATATTTTAAATGTAATGTCTGCTTTTTTTAAAAGAGTGTGAAACTATAAAATGTGGTTACTTACATTTTGAGCCCCTTTAGACTTTGGAGGTCCTAAGTTTAAGCCTACTTAGCCTATTGGGAAATCCGGCACAGTGACATGTGTTTCAAATTTTTTGTTTTTTCAGCTTGCATTATAAAGACTTTATTTTGTTCTAATTACCTTTTAGTAAAACTTGAAGGTAGTTCATCGACTGCATTAATAATTGAGAGTGGAAGGCTGATGACACAATTCTGAAAAATAAGGAGATAAAATAAAACTAACTGCACTTAAAAAAATAATTCTTCCATAATTTCTAAGATTAAGAAATGAAACATTTGCAACTCATTGAATAGGGAAAAAAAAATTAAAATAAACAGACAGAATTATCATGGTTTATACCCTGTTCTTTTGATCCTTCCAAAGAATCCGATGTGTAGTGAGCATGACAGTCCCACTGTTGAATGCAGTCTGCAAAAAAAAAAAAAAAAACGACCTAAAGCTAATTAATAACTGAAACTTACACTACTTTAAGTTCATAAGTGTAGGTTCTTTAAAAAAAATGTAAATCTATTGCATCTTTTTAAAACATTAATTTCTGCTCGCGCCCCATTAGGCTTATTACTTTACATAGAGAATAAAATATTGATTTGACTTAAGTAACCTATGATTAAACTTCATTTTATAACTATTCCAAATTATATGCAGTACAAAGTTAAGCGCTCACGGAAACAATTAGCATATTTTGTGTTTGTTTTACAATCATCTTCCTCATTCAGTAGTAAGATGAAAAAACCCTAATTAAATCTCAAAGCTCCACTGTAAAGCTCTGATTACATCAAAAATGTCTTTAAAAATATTTTAACAATGAGATGTTAAGGAATTACAGAGCCATATGGAACTGAATACAAAGCCTTGAAATGCATTTTTAAAAAATCTCCAGAATTTGATTTGCAGGGCGCATTCTATGCCAGCAACAACATCTGACAGCTAAAAGCTAAAATTACAATACACTGGACTGGATGCAGCCCAAGAAAAAGGCTTTAAAGGTTTGGAGGGAGATGAGAGATATGTTTAAAATAAAACAAAATGTATGGTTGTAACTAAATAAATAGTGGAACGAGATTTGTTTAGGCTTGAAAAGAAAAGACAGGACAATTTAACTGAAGTTTTGGCTGGCTGCCCTTCTTCAGCAGACGGTACATGACAAGAAACAAACAGATGCTTTAAATTTAAAATAGAAATAAAGCCTTATATTTTCATAAATCTCAATAAATTCCATGTGGCTCAGGTTCAGAACAGGGAGTGCTGTAAGTTATTGTTGGAACATTTACTTAATTTAGAGAGTGCCTGTGATTCCTGTTTGAAGAATTTAATTGAAGAAGGGTTAATCCTGTAATATAGGCCAAAACGTGCCAAAGTGTCCTCGTTTTATAGCCATTTTAATTGTTTCTATAGTATAGTAGTTACTATCCTAATGTCTCATTTTTATTGTAGTTAGTTTACATGTTTTTAATAATTGTAAAGCGCTTAGAGCTTTAAGGTAAGCGCTATATAAAAATGCCTAAATAAATAAATAAATAAATTTAGAGTGGCGAAGTTAGTGGAGAGAGATATTTTTTTTAATATCATGTTCTGCACTACTTATATTAATTAATATACATATCCAAGGCCTTGGACTGAAAGAAACGTGTCCAAGTGGACTTAATTGTCTCTGAAAAGGGAACATATCATCCTCAATTAGGGTACTATCCGTTACAAAAAAAGTGGTACTACAGTTGCAAAGAGTGAAAATAGTGATGAGGAGTTGGACATTAATTGAAAACAGCCACTGGTAGACTTCAGAGGAATAAACTTGAGTCCCTTAGGAAGGACTTATCTTTCATCATCAGATGGAGGGATATTTGGAAGGATGCACGCTACCAAATTTTTGCCATTTTCTGCATGGAGTTGTGTAAGCATTAGGTTTAGGGTCATTAAATTTCTTCTTTTTATTGGTAGAAAGGAGAGAGTACAAATCATGATTAAGTTGATGTGTAATAAATCTGATAAGATTGAATAATAAACGTTACTGGGTGGATATAGGGAGATTGCATTCAACAAGCTGGTTGAACCCATATTGCAGATCAATCATTTATGGCTGTGAATGATAATGCCCAGTCTTTGGAGTTTAACTTGTCTCTAATTGTTGAATGTGCCAACCATAAGGTTAAAATTACCAACAAAACCCTTAGGTATTATTCTTAGTCATATGCAGTTACCAAAAATTAAAGACACCATGTCTGTTTGAAAAGAGAAAAAGCTTCTGAAGTCGCTTGTCAGTGCAGGTGGTAGTAAACTAAATATGGTAGTTATAAAAGATCACATTTGGTTCATTGCTATTTTATAGGAAGCCTTGACAATAGGGGTTTTGAAAATAAAGGTGAAATGAACAAAAGTTGTTAGGTACACAATGAATGATTAGGTACACAAAGTATAGTTAGGTATACAGAGTATGGTTAGGTACACTGTGTATGGTTAGGTAGACGAAAGGCATAGAACTTTCAGAAAAAAATGGGTTGTCTCCCATAGTATGTAAAGACTGAATCTGACAAATTGTGCGGAAGAACCACTACTTGGTCAACGGACAAAAGGCGGAGACAGCACAGTGGTGTGAATCGCTGAGAGCATGGCCAGACATGTAGAACGCCATGGTCATTCACTGCATGGGTGACTGGGTGGCCAAATGGTCTAAACTGAGCAAACCTCAATTCCAGCCAAAGGTCAGTCAAGCAAAAACATCACCCCAGGTGGATGAGACTTGTTAACCTTGGTCGGCAACTCATCTAAGAGAAGGAAACTCTGAAATCAAACCCGGAGTTGGAGTCCCGTAAGGCGCATACAATGACAATTCCTGCAACCGTACCCATCCCTGGTCGTCTTGACGTAGAGTCTTGCCACTGAATATGGTGGGCCCGGACGAGAGAGTGAGGTACATGGAGTATGGTGGGGTACACAGAAAGAAGGAGTAAAATAAGGGTATTCCCTGTATTAATAAAAATGAGGCAGTGTAAGATTCCAAAAATAATAAATCAACGAAATAAAGGAACAATTCAAACAAATAATAGTTAAAATCCGAAAAAGAAGGAATACAACCAGGTACATATGGATAGTAGCAACCAAGTATCAATAAGGAAGGATAACTTTATAAATGGTGGTAACTAACACATATTTGGGCATCAGTGTGAGACCTGATATTGAAAATTATGTAAGGAAGTAATAGTTAGCAATATGTAGCATGTTCCATAATGGCATGCAGCGACAAGCTTCAAATTGCATTAATTGTTTCTGAATGAGTAGCTCTAGAACGGTGAGTCATGAAGAATCACGTCCCTGGGCTGGATCCCAACTTCATAACTGTTAGCATGAGACCCGGACCGGAGGCCTTACCGCAAACTAATTTTGCAGCCAAATGATAGCCGAGATCACAGCGCCCCATGCAACTGAAAGTGCTAAATGGCCCGATAATGACTCACTAGACAGGGCATGAAAAGAAGAAGTTATCCATAATAAAGTCTTCAAGGAATCCACAGCATCTTCTGACCAAAACCATGTCTGATTTAAAAAAAGAAAGATTTGTCATCCAGAACAAGTGCAAAGACTTCATTGAATTTGACTGATGTAGTGTGGCCCCCAAGCCTTCCAGAATAGCAATCAGATGGGAAAAAGAAGGAGTCCATAAATGCCAACCTGTGGGATAAAAAACACACAAAATCCCCCCCCCCAACTGTTCCTCAGCATGAAAATCCATACTGACAGGGAAAAAAACAAAAAAGAAATAAAAAAAAAGTATAACTTATAACTTTTTCATCATTCATGCAAACATTCATGAATAATCTAACCTTGCTGCATGCACATCTTAATCTTAGCATGTTCACATCAGTATAGATCCCATTTTTTAATTAGAAATAGCTAGCTTTAAGAACAATTTTCATCAGATTTTTGAGTATTTTTTACACGTCAATTGCAATTTTGTTAAAAATTGACTTAGATGATGAATTTGAAAGCAATAAAGATGTAATTATACATAGTCTTCTGTTAATTGTGCTAGCTTAGATATAATATAGATTCCTGTATTTAATTATCAGTTTACTGTCAATTTATACAATTATTTTACACTGGGTGGGGGGGATGTCATGTGGATACTTCTTTATTTTTTTCCCCTTATGCACTATGTGGATATACAGTGTTGGAAGTTATAATAAGAATTGGGTAAATGGATTTGTAATTACCAAACAACGCTGTAGTATCCAATGGTCTCAATGAAACTGGTGCTCAATTTTCTTAATTTAGATTTACCAATCCCAGACTTGGGCCAAAAGTATTTCAGCTTACAGTTGACTAATGCTGAATTTATTGCGCTGCCCATTAAGATTTTCAAATTTGTGTAGTCACCAAGTTGTACAAATTGTTTATTTTCTAAATCTTGTGAAAAAACAGTTCAAAATTCTGTACGGCCAAATAACTCAAAAAACTTTTTTTAACATACAGTTTGGCATGTATGGCAGTCAATAGATAGATAGACAGAAGTGGCGATTTTTAGTCATTCCTGTGATAAGCATCAGTCAGCACATAAGGACTAAAAGAATCATACATGATACAGATATTACATAACAGAGTTTTGAATTAATATCTAAGAGGAATTATTTAAGATTTTAATGTACTGAAGACATAGTGAACATCTTTTGTTGAATTTTAATTGAATCCAAAGTAACAAACTTGGTCAATTTTAGAAGCATACTAAAAAGGATCAAACAATTCAACTTTAGAAACTTACATAAGTTAATGTGTCAGTTATTACAGCACAACTCATTATCTTTCATCATAAACATGAAATAAAAAGCTTGGGGACTACTCACTATTTTTATTTGTGTATGAACATTTGTTTCATTTTTTTATAATGGGCCTACATTAGGGAAACTTCTGGAACTTTTCATTTTATATTACGAGATAATTGTGTCTTTACAAGATGCTGATTTAGGTGTGCTTTTGTGCTGATACTTATGTGCATCAGGCCACACTGTACTTTTTAAGAGACCAGAACGCCTTACAAAATGACATTAAGTATTAAGTTATGATGAAATAATAATAAAACAAGAAATCATCAACTAAGGACATTATATATTGTGCAGCTTAAAAGATACTAGTATTAATTGTGGCATGTAGCTTCAATAAAAGTCTGTCTTGAAGTTAAATTTTGTGACTGTGATTCTCAATCACGAGTATCACAATGTGAATACCAACTCAATCTAGAATTAAGGAAAATATAATATATGAGGGGCTGCGTTCCTGTGAAGGAAATGGTGGAATAAGATCTATAAGGCTAAGAATAAGATCTTACTAAACTTTGAAATGATAAGACAGGACAAGAATGTTTGGGCTAGATGCCTTCATCCTCTTAAGCAGATAAAGACAAAACAAGAAACAAAAAAGCAAAGGGTAGGTACTTTAGTCAAGCAAGGGGGGACACTCCTAAAAAATTTGTATCGGAAATGTGCATCGGCGCAATGGAATCCAAGTTTTTAATTTTTTTAATGTGTGTAATTTTAATAATACAGGAGTCCTTTTGCCCCATAATTAAGGTCTGACTCCGCCCATTCACATTAGGAGAAATGTTGACCTACAGTCCCATTTAGTTTTTTTTGGTTCTTTATATCAACTTTAAGTGAGGAAAATCGTATGTCAATATAAAATATGTTTCTCAACATAAAATTGTTATTGAAATATTAAAAGTATGTCTTTCATACTAATTGTATATCAGCAGAATATATTGAGGTATACGTATGCAACATTTCATTGCGCTAGCTCATGAAACATTTTCACAATTCTCTACGTATACCTAATTAAGCAAAGGTCGCAAAGGCCATTTTGGATTAGTGACCACACCCCCTTTTAAATGGTGGAAGACACCTATACTTAGCTTAGGAAATATTCCATTATGATCAATGTATACATCAAAATATTTGATTACGTAGGTTTTGAATGCATTTTGAAGACACTTATACTGTAATTTTTTTAATTTGAGCATTTGTGTTATAGGTGTCTCGTTTACGTCATCTTTTCTCGTGCGTGAACTTTGGCTGACCCCCAAGTTCGGCACCCCGAATGGGTGTGGCTTAATTATAAATAGTCTCTATGTATCCCTAAACCTAACCTGAACCCTAAATCTATCCCTAAACCTAACCTGAACCCTAAACTTATCCCTAACCTAGGTTTTGACCCTATCGCAACCAGGGTTTTGACCTTATCGGAACCAGGGACACAACATGCAAATGACGTCAGGGTACTATCTCTCCAAACTAGCCCTTTTATTATTTGTGAAAATAATTTAAAATTAAAATGAACTGCAAATATTTAGTATTAGGCCTAAATTATTTAAAATAATAAATATTATAAATATTGATTTTGCGCTTTTACATTTTAATTTTACTCAAACTGACTGATTGATGATTGATTTAGTTTGGTGTGAGAATTATGGAATACCTTATCTTGTCCATCGTAGACCGCAACACCACCTCTTTGATTGACAAGGCTTTCCTCTGGATAAAAACTACCATCACACCAAGAAAAACGATTCATTCTCGTTTAAGGTTCAGTGATTTGAAAGCATCTGTGTAATTTTAATTTTTATTTACGCTTTCAGTTTCTTGTTTCGTAGCTTATAAATCTTAGACTTTAAGTTCCTAAAGTTAAAAATTTATTTTTTTAATATTACAGAACAAATTGATCTGCTTCCATATGGTAATTGATGTTACCATATTACCATTACCTAGACCGTAGGTATGTAATAAATTATTTAGTTTATAATTTATATATTTTAAACTTTTTATGATGTTTAAGGCGATTTTTTTCTTATTTTCAATATAAAAAAAAAAGAAAGGTTTTAGGGATTGTTCTGCTTATTTCACTCCGATCGTTAATTTTGACATTTCATTTTATTTCCTTTTACTTTTGGAAGGTCAATAAATAAGAGGACACTCACGTCCGTTGTAAGGAAATCATTATAAAATGTTGAACAAAGTAACACCACTTTTGAGAGCAGCACCACGTACGTCATATTAATTAAAAATAAGTAAATAGTTAAATTAGTTCCCCTTTTAATTCATAAATAATTCTTAGTTTACCAAATGGTTCATTAATATAATTGACTGAATGAGTCGATCATAAAAGTCATAAGTTTACTAACAAAATTAAGTCAGTCAACAATAATTAATTAACATAACAATGATTGAATGAATAGACAAGACAACAGTGGCACACAAAACAGCAAAGGCAAGGCCTATTCAGTGTTTCTTTACAGTGGACTATTAAACTTAAACTACTAACTAGTAGGTACTTGTAAGTTAAAGTTGTACTTGACTTGGGTAAAAAATTATAAAAATATTACAATTCCTCAATTACAGTATATATTATAAATCAAATTTCAAATAAAACAACAGAATCAACTTTCTAGACTTTAGTACATTTTGACACTAATTTAATTTTAATAAATGAAATGGATGATGAATGGCATTATTATTATTATTTATTATATTTTATATTCTATATAAATAATTTATTGATATAATATCGGGTCACATCAATTAATTAGGCTTAGACCTACTATTACTAACACTAGTACTGACTACTGAATTAGTACTTGGGCTTAGGCCCAGCCTTTAACTTCAATAATCAATAATATTATTGATTGTTTGTACCTTTTGGGATTATATCATATAAGTAGGTATAACAATACTTGTCGAAGCATCGTTTTGCGTATGTCCTAAAATGTCGAAAAAACGTGTTCTGCAATATGGCGTACAGCAACACAGTATCATTGGAAAATTGCAGACTACGTCACCTTTGTTTATAAAATACTTGCTTTCCTCATCACTGACATATCAGTTTTTGTGTTCCGGTCATATATTGATTTATGCTACGATATTTTTTTTGCATCACGGGCAGTATTATTATAATGACTCGGTTAGTATATAAATCGCATAAATACTTTTTTACTAGTAAAGCCACCAAAATAAGGTTTAGTGCTCCTTAATCTACATTCATTGTAAGTGTAAGAGTTTTTTCAATATTTTGAGTTATTATCGTTGAGCTCTCGATAAAAAGTTATGCAACCCGCGAAGAAGTGGGGGGTATGAAATTATCATTATTTTTTTATTTTGATCGAGAAGCCGGAAATGGCTGCTATCACTGTGATTCGTTAATGTTAAATCCTTAAACATCTAAATAATTATAAGACGTTTAAAATTAATCATTTTAAGAAAAGATTATAAGCAAACTTGAAAAGTTTATGTAGTAACGAAGGGTTGGTTTTAAGTTTTATTTACCGGTACACAGTTTATCGTTTTTTCATTATTGAATTTTTGAATCAATATTTAATAGTTTTACAATAGTAATATCGATAATAATAATCGTTTTTCTCTTATTATTTCAGAGAATATTACTGAAATTAGGCCTACTTATCATTATCAGTTATAATTATAATTATAAACAACTGTTCAGTGTTATTATAATCCTATAATTGTCTATCTAGGCCTAAGCTTAATTTTTCTTACTAATTCTATTACAAGCCTATAAGTTCTATTATATATATATATATATATATATATATCAGTTTATTAAAATACATCAAATTAATAAACAAGACTCGAACAACATCATCATAGCAATTATATTTTTATTAGGACATAGAAAAGCAGTACATAGACAATTGTTTAATATATAAAATAATTTTTTTTAATGAATTAGTCTCATCATTATCATATTATCATCATTGATGATATTTGAGTAAATTTATCTATAATTACATGCTTTCAATTTTATAAATTAAAAAGACTACTTACCTTTTTATAAATATAATAATTGATTTAAAATTAACACAAGCATAATAAAATTAGTTACAATTCAATAAATAATAATAAACATGGTGTTTTTTGTTTTTTTTTCGTTTTTTCCTTATAAATAATGATTTTCCCAATTTTTCTGTTCACTTTTTTCTGAACATACCCACAAATAAATTTATAAAAAAATAAAAGTCTTTATGTTATATAAAAGTTTTGTTGTTTATTGTACTGTATATTGCATTGAGCATGTCTCCTGAAAATTTGGTAGATTTGGTTCTTTTAAAATCAAAAAGTTTTGGGTAAAATAAGGCAGAAATTTTGAAAGTGGGTCACACATTTTTTCAGTTAAATACTAAGATAAAGAAGGGGGTGTTTAAAAATCACTAAAAAAAATCATAACTCCACTTCTGTAAAAGATAGAAAGGATGAAATTGGTGTTGTTGTAAAGCTTATAGCTAGCCATTTAAAATGATGTATCATTCATGGCAATTTGACAATATTTAAATTTTGTGTCAAAGTACCTAATATAAGGTACTTTGGTAAAGTAAGGTAGACTACTAAATTAAGTGTATCAGAAATGGGAATTGGCACAGAAAAATCAGAGTTTTTAATTTTCCGATGTGTGTGTCTATTCATTAATAAATGAGCCCTTTTAACATATATTTGAGTTCCCTTTCCGGCCTTACACTTTAGTAGACATCTTGGCATACATTTTCATTGATTTGTTTGGATTTTTCAATCGACCTGTATTTTGAAATTCCCCTTTAAATATAAGGGGTCTTTTACTAAAAAATGTGTATAGAAGTTCATTTTTTATGTCTTTCATATTAAGTTTTAATCTAACAATGTATGTTTGTGTCAATTCTCATTGAGTTAGGACGAGGACATGTCAGCCACTTGTTATGCTCATTTGAGTAAACCACTATATGGTAATTTGCTAAGCCCAATTTCGATAAGGAAGTGGCCACGCCCCGTATTAATGGCGGAAGACACCAATACTTCGGGAATATTTAATTATTACCACTATTTACATCAAAATATTTGATAACTTATGTTTTAGAATGAACTTATTGAAAGAATAATATTTTAATTTTAGGTTAAGAAACCCAATAGAGTCCATATTATAAATAATCATAATTTGCCGTGTGCAAAATGCCATGGCCATGGGGCAGCCATTCACAGTCACATGCATAATGGCTATACCATACTATCTCAGAGTTTTCATTCATAAAAGTTTGCCGTGTGCAAAAACTATTAAACCAGGTCAGGGAAAGCTTTATTAATTAGTCATGTGCTAAAGTTGAAAGTTCAAAATAAGTAGTTCCCAAACTGTATTTTAGTGATAAGTGGATGCGTTGCCTTATATAGATTATATAGCATGTACTGGTACAATGGACGCCATAGATTTGGTAAACAGAAAAGCCATATATTAATACATTATATTAAATTTACTGATATACATAGTGCATAGTTAGATAAGCTACAATTTATCTATAATTGTATAACATTATTAAAATTATTTTTTAATACCTGGGGCATTAGTTCTGAAAATAAAAATCTTATAAAATTATCATTAAAACGAGAGTTATATAGCTCGTGACGCGAACAGAGGATTTGGGTCACAGAATGTGGAGGTGCTGCCCATGTTAACAAAGGACAAATGAGGTGGTACTTTAAAAATTCATAGCTTTAAAACTACAACAGCTAAAAATATGATTTTGGAGTTATAATTCTGTAAAACATTAGCTTTACTTATCTATGCCATCTGTTTATTTTTACAAAATTTTTAAATTTTTATCAAAGTATCTATATTATATTTATATAGACTAATATAGTTATTATATAGTCTGTTGTAGTACAGAGAAATATTGCTGATAAATGGCAAGGTACAGAATGACAGATACAGAGTAAATCAAATATTTATGGAGTGTCTGAGAAAATTTAATGTTTATGGAGTATCATACAGCGTCGATAATGACTAGACTATCTATAATTTATAGTACCGATATCCATATTTACTGCTCATTCGTATTCTTCAGCGTTTATATTATTTGGAGGAGGCACTAGTTGGAGTAGCTCTTTATGGCCCTGGTTAAAATTTGAAATATATATGTGTGGTTAGCCACCATCAAATTGGCAATTTTGTAACTGTAAAGTAAATGATAAATCTAAGATGTGGGACTCACCCACCCTCAATCACTCAGCTAACAAATGACTAACTTACTAACCATCTCTGGTTCTTAAGCATATTGGTAGTGTGAGTCTTTCTGTGAGATAAGTCATGGATTTAAATATGTTTTATATACATTGCTTGGTTCTCATCAGTGTCACTAAACTCTTTTTCAGCAACAAAGTTTCCAATAAGGGTCGGTTTCGGTTTTTGGCTATCACAGCAATTTTTCCTAAACGTATGACTGACTGACTGGGGATGGACTGTGTTGTTGCTTGCATTTAACCCAAGACAGTAATAAATCTGTGGATGACTTTGTTGTGCTACCAAATTACCTAATACTTGATTAGTTTGATCAGTGATTTCTTTATTTATATTACAGGTCTCCAACAAGTACGTTTCGGTCATGGTGTTCCAGCACACTGGAAAACCCTTCGTCAAATTAGTGAAGAGACCAAAAGTCACATGAATTTTATGCCTGTCCCTCAAGGTTCCTGGCAAGAAGCTTATAAGGCCAAAAGTGCCAAAGCAAATATTTTGCTTGCAGCATCAGTAGCTGCATTCATTAGCACCTATGCACTGGTAAGTGGATAATTTGCAATTAGTATTTTCAATTTGAATTTCATTTTAAATCCAATTTTAAACAATAAATATCTTTTTAGTGTCAACAAATTAGCATACAGGGTCTTAATACAAAGATCATTATAAAGATTGTTTTTAACATTACTCAATTGAATAATTTACTATTTGAAGTCACCAAACTTTAACATTTATACTGATTTGATCAAAAGATTCATCTGAAAACTGCTTGTCTTTATCATGTCCAAATAAGACTTAGCATTTGAAATTAGCATGTACATAATTAAAATAGCTTGAAACTTTAACTTTCAATAAAATTATTTTTATATCTTATTGTGCTGTATAAAGATATTATTGTAATTTTCTTCTCGTCCCTTTCAGTTATGGAAAAGCGGTGTTATATACTTGCATTCAGCACCACCAATGTATAACAGCAAAAAAGCATAGTTGTTTTCTCCTAGTTTTTATGATTTGGTATTTTGTTTAACAAGGCCTATCTCATCATGACTAATACCTATATTATAAAGTTAATTAACCCAGGGAGTTTTAAATTTGATGCAAATTTTGTTAACCAACCTCATGTCCATCCATTACCGGTATTTAGAATTTTTTCATGCAGCGATTGAAGTAAAATTTGAAATGGAGAAATGGCTTAAATGAGGATAATACAATCAAATGTTTCAAACATAATTTTGATGTCATGATTTTAGTAGTGAACAGACTGTGATTTTACTCAATAAATTTAAAATGGTGTTTAGCCACTGTTAAATATTTATTTTTCAAAATAAAATTCCAGGTAGAGACTGTGTGAGGTGTTTAGCATGAATGATTTATATTTTAAAAGTGAATCAATGTTTAGGAATTTGATATAAATTGAAATGACTGAGATGGCCTTTTCCCCTTATGTTTAGAAAATTTTGTAATGAAAAAAAATCAACCTTTTCAACAACAAGTTTGAAATCGATGCAAACAAGTATTTTTTTTTGCACTTAAATTATTGATATAGAGTACTTAGTTGCTGATATTGGTATGATTGGAACGAATATAATAAAGTTTTTAATGATGAAAATTTCTGATTTAGTTTTTAATTTGATGTTGATGAACTCTTCCTTATATCAAAACTGCTAATCACTTGCCACCCCCTTTTTTAAATAAAACTGTGCTTTTCATCATTATAGCATAAAAAATTTTGACATTCTTTCAATGATTTGTTCATTACCAGTACCTTTTGAGATTACCCCTTTAAATAAAAAGTATGTCACTTAAACTAATTTGAAACAAAATAAATTATTAGTTCGAAAGCATTTGAGTTATGATTAGCTTTAATCAGATCATCACAATGGAGAAGAGCGTAACATAGTTTTTTTTTATAAATTAAAATTTCAATACCACTGACAGTGAGTCCAGGAAGGCAGTATGTTGGGGAGCGCTTTGTCTTAATTGCTTCAGCAAAGACTTTTGTTCCATATTCTTTTTTTTTTGGCAACTGTCTGTCACAATGTGACAATGGTGTACATTTCGCAGGATGAAATCACAAGTGGAGCCCAAGGTAACATCATGTTAGGATGATACAGCTTGTCACCAGTAGTGTCACAGGAGTTGCCGTAATTTTCATTAAGTGTATGTCATACCACCTACTAGACTGCACCTCATTAAAATTTAATATTAATTTCAAATAAAAAGACAATAGGGAGACTAATGAAACGGATATAAAATAATTAAAAATTTATTCAACAGTTTCAAAGAGGCACACATCATTGCAGATGTATTTTTAATAAATACAATACATGACACATTAAGGATTAAAGAGCAGTAGTATAAGAAAATCTTGAATTCAACCATTGAAGAGATCCAGTGCCAGCAATTTATTCTTTGGCCAGAAATATTAGTAATATAACAAAAGAGTACCGGTACTCAAAATCATCTGAAACATTTATAGATTTATAACTAACTTTTGAGGGGTAATTTCTGAAATGAACATTTAGAGAAAAACTGACAAGGCAAAGTACATAAACAAAATCTATCACCATCTTAGCTTAAAATAATTGTAAATGTTCATCAAACAAGTCAATGCATTAGTATTGATAAAAACAAATGCAGTTCTAAAAACAGAATTTGAGCTGAGTGCTGGGAATGTGAATAAAAATTCTAGTAATATTCCACAATTTTAACAGACATAAAATATCACTTGTTAAGTTAAGGCAAACTTTCACACTTAAAGCTTCATGGAAGAAAGAAATTTTAATATTTCTTGAGTGTATTATTATTACTACTGTCACCTCTCCCCCAATAAAAAAAGCATACTGGGTAACGTTTAAATGAAATTGTTTAATTACTGGTTAGCAATAGCTTAGCTAGGGTTAAGGAGCAAGATTTTTTCCACCACCACACCTGAAAGAACTGCAGTTGGCACAAAATTCCACCCCTTAATATAACAGTATGTATAAAAAAAAAAGTGCGGACTGCCCCGCCCCACCCTTCCTATGCCCATGCTGGTTAGTTCACCTTGACATAATACCTAACCAACACACTCGCAAAAGATATTTTGTTGCCATTTTATATGTAGGAGTAAAAACTTTATAACTTACTAAGGGAAGTTTGTGACTACTTGTGGGACTGGAGTCTTCAGTTTTTGTAATTATTCCCTATTATGGAAATCCAACTATAAAACGGTATGTATAAAAAAAAAGTGCGGACTGCCCCACCCTTCCTATGCCCATGCTGGTTAGTTCACCTTGACATAATACCTAACCAACACACTCGCAAAAGATATTTTGTTGCCATTTTATATGTAGGAGTAAAAACTTTATAACTTACTATGGGAAGTTTGTGAGAACTTGTGGGACTGGAGTCTTCAGTTTTTGTAATTATTCCCTATTAAGGAAATCCATATTATTTGAATATTTGCGCAATACAGGAATTAAGAAGAACCCTAGATATCATTATACTCAAGTTCATGGTTTTCATTCAATTATTTTTAAAAAGGAAACTGATAGCAATGATGGTAAAATTACAAGAACATTTAGCAGATAAATGGTTTGATAAATAATCCCAACCCTCCTTTTTCAAAGCTCACTAAAAAAAAGTCACAACACCAAGAATAAATTATTTAAAAAAGAAGACATGAAATTGAATTCAGGACCCATTAAACAGTACATAATTTTATGCTTATTTAAATCTATCATTCATGAAAACATTATTTCTGAATCTTGAATGTCAAAATTCTGGAACATTATTGTGGAAGTTGAAAGCTAATGGTAGAGCACCCTGAAACTTTAATAATGATTAGTTCATGCTGGGAAAAATTCTGTTCACACAGGAAAGCAACATTTAAGTATTGTATTAAAAGGGTTATGTTTGGGAATTATCAAATTAAAAAAAAATAATAAAGCTTTCAAAACTTTTGTATTAGTAGACATAAATTACTAATTTCTTTAAAATCAGCTTCTGATCTAATATCTAATGAGGAATTACTTATGGAAAAGCTTTGACACATGAAAAAAAAATGTCACATACATGTCATCAATGTAACTTGTTAATAATTTCTTGGAAATGATCTGCACAATTTTTCAAGTGGTTAGTGATCGACAGTCTTACACAATTTTTTAAAATGTTGCACTTGTTCAATTCTGCATTTTGATTGTTTAAATACAGCCGACTTTTAATCACAATCAAAGTTAACTCGTGTCAGTGGCTGATATTGTTAATTTAGTGTTTACCTACTCCCCAAAAACTACCCTACTTGCTTATATTATATAGTCCATTCTAACCAGCTACTCACCAATATCTTTCAGACAACCATGGACAAAGTAAAACCTGTTACCCCTTGGCAGAGACACACAATATTACTACTAATGGGCCATGGGGACAACCTGTCTTACTCCATAATTATATTAAAAAAATTTACTCTAAAAATATTTTATTTTGATAACTTTCTGTTTGAATTTTTTTTCCATCCAAGTGGGTTGGTCACAACCATCATATTCATAAACTTTTAAACTATGTTAAATTTAAACAAATCTGAATTTATTTTTTTTTTACCACACAAACTTATAAAGCTGAAGAAATGTAAATATAAAAACATGACACCATTCTAAAAAAAACCTTGAATGAAACGTTATTTTAAGGTTAAAGTTAATCTCTTTTCACAATATAAACACTATGGAAATTTAATAAAAAACAACATTGATCAAACTAGGTTTGTTGAATCTGACATGAAGATAAAAATAGACTGATAAAAATACTTCACATATTCTCATTTTTCTTGACATTTTCTTGTAAGTTTGTATTTTTTTTAAACATCCCCTAAAATTTATCTTGAATAAGGTCAGTGTCGATTTTATCTTGTTTACTTAGAAATACTTTGTACAAGTTATTAATTAATTTGTTTCTCAAATAAATTTTTTTTAAACTTCATAATTATAAGTATAAGCACAATATTGTTTTAATATTCAAATTAATCAAATGCCCTAAACACTATACATGAAGTACGTTTAATCAATAATTCGATCAAACATAAATTTCACAGCCTCCTGGTTGTGCAGCACCCTAGGAACTTTGTACTGATTTGATGCTGATGATGGTTGTTCTAGCATAAAATGTCTCAATTCCATGAACGTTCCCCTCGGTACAATATGAACCTGAATCGGACCAATACTGCCTTTGTGCCGGAAAGATGAGTAGGGGTAAGACTGTACCATCAGAGCATCATCCAGCTTGGGAGAGACAGTGTAAGAATTAACACAGTACTGCATGTACCACAGTACTGTATGTATCAGTATACTTTTGGCTTAAAATAACTGATTCGTTAGTCAACTTCATACCGGTGCTACACATAATATTTGAGGTTGTTATGTGCCTTAATAAAAAAATTTTGAAGGTAATGAAATACTTAAACAGTGTCGGTGGCAGTGTCTTTATGTTATTTTATAACCTGCAGTCATAGGCTACATCATTTTATTAGACATAAAAGGCAATTAAATGCAGTACTATATCATAATCAGTCATTTCAATGGCATGTTTCCAGTGTTAATGGATTCAATCATTTCATCTTTCCAGTGTTAACAGATTCAATCATTGAAGTCATTTTACAGAATTCAATTAACTCTTGTCCTAATAAATGATTGCAAAAAATCAGAGACATGACCTTACCATAGTTTTTTGTGATCTAGACACTGATCTGATATCACCGCTTCCATCTTTTCTTTCCAACTCAATAAAAACATGGTAGCATGGTTGGGATGTTTTAAATCCTAAAATTAAAAAAATAAAAATTTAATTTAAGAGACCAGCAAAGAGCCAGTTGATTGTTTTACAAATTTACAGTGACATATACTCAAAGGCATCCCCCCCAAATAAAACCAAACAACCCACCAAAAAAACAAAAATAAAACCAAAAAACAAAACCCCAAAAATACAGACAATTCAACATTTGCTCATAGCTGGGAGCAAGCCTGGGCATATTTCAACTCATTTACTTCCACATCACCCCTATGCCTAGATTTGATATAAGGAAGATGAGTGCAAGTATGTTTCAGAGGTAGTATTTGTTGTTATCACATAGGTTGTTCATGACAAGACTTTGCTCTCACATCAGAAATATTACTAATTTAATGGAGAAGAATATCAAACTCCATTGATGAACATTGTTGGGCTTTATGTTGTTCTTTGTGAATCCAGACAACTTCTAAGCGATACTAAAATTATTCCATAACAGTAAAACTTGTAATTAAAATATTGATATAATAAAGTGTCCACACTCTGTATTCAAGCTTTAGGACCCTTATAGTAAGTAGTCTATCTTTATGAGTTACCTTTGAGCACATCCAGACCATCCAGCGCAACACTTTCAACACAGCAGTAATCTGCCAACGTGGTGTTTGTCCAGATTTTTGTCACAGTGCCTTTCAAAGTATCATAGAATAACTCTTCTGATATTTTCTCTCCCCTGACATTGAGAAACTGACCCTTCCTGGAGAAAAAAAATATAGGGTGGTTCTGTCTGTGCTGGACCAAGAAAAATGCAAATATTTTGGAAATTTATGAAGTCATCATTATTAAATTTGAGTCAAAGGAACATAAGAAATTGTAACAGGTAGAGAGAAAAATCCTGGTGACATCAGGGCAATATCTGTTGTCTGTCATCGAGAACCACGTTGTGCGCCAACATGCCTACACTGCCTCTGGCATGGTGATAGATCTGTCATTTGGTTGTGGTAGTAAAGGAAGATGGTGTACACAATTAATAAGCATTTACTCATTGTATGCAATCAAATAGGCATGTTCAAAATCTGATGAATTGTTTTTGAGAAATTTGCTTAGCTATTGGGTCTTCTGCCATAAGTATCACCCTTTAAATTAAAAATACAGTCCAACAGGTGAAGAAGGCATTTAGCCGAAAAGTCCTTTTAATTGTTCTGTTTTTTTTTTCAAGCCTAAACACATCTTGTTCCACTATTTATTGACATCACACAGCTTTCATGAAGTCCCTCATATATTTTTATTTTGTAGGTGCTAATTAAGCCTAAAAATGACTTCTTTACAAGCCATATAGGATATCCTTTCATCATAATGTTGTTTGCTGAGGTTGAAAATAATGATCGCTTCCATTTTTATTGTGTTCCTTTTTAAAAATTCATAGCATTACTGTTTATTCTTCACTTTATTCTATAAACTAAACTAATGGCATGTAAAAAAAAAAAACAACAACAAAAAAACCTCACACTTATTATGGTTTGTACTCATGAACATCAAACAGAATTTTGTAATTAAAAAAAAATAGTTTTCAACTTGGCTAGAGGTTTAATCAACAAGGCTTCAAAACTTTCGATTTCAATGTGTGATTACTACATTAATGTCCCCATTTATTTTGTGTGAACAGCCTTTATGATTTTTTATTTCAGATAGAATTTTCACTCAACAGTGATTAATAGAGATTTGATTTGTACCGGTATATTCAAAATAGCCAGTATTACCAGACATCGCTACAATCTGAATAACATTAAAAATAAGCAAATTTAAGGGATTTGTAGAAACAATTAGTCACTCCCTGGTCTTGTCTTGATACACTGAACATTAGATGACAATGGATTTTTCAACTGATTCAATTAGGCCAGATCTGTAATGACTGATGACACAATAAACTACTGATGACATACTGACCTATACTTAAACTCTATGATGGGACACTGGTTGTGGAAGCCCACCACTTTGATGACATCACCAAATCTGTAGCGGTACAAACAGCTGGGGTTGGTGATAACAAGTTCATAGGTGCAGCCTTCTCTTACCTGCAGGAGAAATGAATTGTTACCCAACCTTAACAATGATCCATGAATAAATTGATAAAATAGGCAATACAAGTATGTGAAATCCTTAGTTTGCTGACTATTGTGAAGTATCTCAAATCTAATTGTCCATTAAATTGCATTCCATTGAGGATGTCCAGTGAGTTAAGTTATATTGAATTACGCTACATATTGTTGAACAACATGGAACTTCCTGCACTGTTTTATTATACAATGTGGACAGCATATACTTAAGGAAGTACAATGGTCTGATGCCCTTTAGTCCCAAAATCTGTTTAAATGATATTGCAATTGTTTTACCATCAACAGACAGTTATCATTAATTTATTATACAATACCAGATCCATGGCTGGTGGGTCAGGGAAAAGGGTGGGGTATCTCTCTTAACTCCTCATGAGGGTTTAAAATTCATATTCAATATTGTCCTACCAATAAATTTAGAATTTATCGAATTTCTATGGCAACCTTGATAATGTAAGAATAGGTTATAGGAGAAAAAAAAAAGATGCTAAACAAGTCTCATATTTTAATTTGTTGTGAGAATGTAGTTGAAGAGACTTCATGAATTGTGCGGTTCTAAACCAGGGTGGGGTAGGAAACATGCTGTTCACAGACAACTTGTGGCCAGCTAATGTGTATAATAATGCAGCCCACAAGATCTTCAAGGAACTGGATTAATGTTTTCAAAACATGTACAAATTGTGAGTGGTTATTTGTAAGATTAATAATCACAATGTAAAATTGTAAAACTAATAAAGACAATCACAGTTAAATCTTAAAATTATTCCTTTGCTTATTTGCAAACTGAACTCTGAATGAATTTACGAAAAGCTTTATTTAAAGGTGTATATATATAGATATTTTAAAAAAAATTATGCAGCTGTGAAAGAGAAATTAAATTCCATGCGCCCCTACCAGCCCAGTTCTTGAGTCTGTAAATTAAGGAGTTCAAACCAAACTCTGACCTGGTGCATGAGGCATGTTGGGGGATTCTCCTCATCCATTAGGTTTTCACGAATGAACTCAAAGAACTGAGTGCGAGGGTGAAGGAGATAGTGTGATGGCAGCTGATGGGGCCAGATGTTAATCCCAAGCAGACCCTCTGATGCAGCATAGATGGGCGAATACAAGGGCACACCTTTGGGAATAGTTGTAGGGAATAAATGCTTATATTTGTTATATTTATAAGTTTCTGCTTATCTTCCTTCTTTAATTTAAAACTGCCCTGAGCTTGACTCTCTTGTAATGTTAAATATTCATGACCATTGTGCTATGTGTGGAAAAAAGAAGTTCAAATAATGTTTAAGAAATAATAATCATCACTTTTTGAGTAGCAGTGTATGAACTAGAGCCCGACCAAAAGTGATTTTCTAATTTCGGCTGAAACCGAAACCAGACCAAAAGTTAAAAATGACTTTTGGCCGAAACCGATACAAAAAGCTTAACGAGACCTTCGGCCGAAGCCAAAAGAATTAGATATTTTGAGATTCGTTCACACATATTTTCTTCATATATCGACAAATGATGGGGAAAAGTATCAAAACGTTTATTATTTTTATAAAAAATGAGATCGTGAGTTTTAATAGATGAGCACACAATGAATTCTTATAAATTTAAAAAGTAATTTAAACTTGTTAAAAAATGTATTTTTAAGTAGTATGATAAGAGAAAAATATGAAAGGGGGGGGGGGGGGAAAAAATTAAAAAAAAAAGGGAGGGAGGGGGGCAAAAATTCATGTAATATAAATACAATATTACCTAGACATTTGGTATAGATCGAAAGCTTAGCCTATGCATGCATAACATAAGTCTTGAAGGAACTATTTGTTCTGCTACACCAAACTATTTCTTTAAAACACACTTTTTTTTTTGGTCAACATTCAAATTTTTCTTTTATCCGCTATTATTATATATCGGGTATTTTTATATTTGACCCAGGTCAAACAAAATCGAAGGAATTTTGAGTTAAGTTTAGTAGATGATACAATTGCAGACCTGGAACTATACTGTAACAGTGAATAAATAAACATACAGTATAATTGCATACATAATTATTCGCATCACATGTCCAATAAAGGTCACTTCTCAAAGTAGATGACAGACGTTTATATATTTATATACTGTGGATTATTACAAATAAAATTTTATGTCATTGCAACTCTGATAGACGAAGATATGTTGGGGGAGCTGAAATTGAGGATGCTGAAATTGAGGTGGGGTTTGCGGATGAGGCTGAGCCCGGAATTTTTTTTAATAAATTCAAAGCGAAGGGATGCACATTTGCGTATACCTAAATATAGCTTTGCATCAGTCGAGACTTAATCGTAATGCTTGTGAAAAATGAGTTCCCCTTACCTAGCTTTTTTTTAAAACATAAATCCTTTTAATTTATTAGTTAATAAATACTATTTTAAAAAAAAATGTATTTCTTATTTCAGTCAATTTTCAATCTATCATTCCAAAATGGCGCGTAAAGTTAAAAAAAAATAAATAATATAGACAGCGAAATGAAGAAATATTTTCATTTGTGATACATCTCACGGTTTAACGTGGCGGGCCAGGGTATACCCACACTTGCATTAAGCCTAGGAGCCTGATTTTATTTTCCGTTAACATATTATGGGAAAAACTACCACAAGCTGCATTGGGAGAGTGGGAAGATAAGTGGTGGAACAAAACTGGGGTATTAAAATTGTACAGCTGCTTTGTGACTTCTTAAAACAGATTTCAAATGCCGCTTACTAGATCTTAAAGTTATAGCATATTTCAAAATCTAGCGCTACTGTGCAGAGCAGTTAAGAATGCATTTTTTAAAAATATGTAGTTTTGAAAAATTCAAAATTGATAATAGCACTAAAATCCTCCACATTATGTACACGTCCGTCAATGTAGCCTAATTTGAATGCCAGAGTTGATTAGACAATGGGGTACCACGCTATATAAGACCACTAATAATAATAATAATTAATATAGCGTATGCAAAAAATTATTATTTTAATTATTTTATTCAGTGACCAACCTCCCACACTCTTTTTGGTGGGAGGGGGGAATATAGTTTTTACCGGGTCACTTAAAATCGTAGTACTGACATGTCTCGGCTTAGAAACATTAAAGACATATCAAAAGGAAACAGGTCTGCAGTAAGCTTACAACAAAATTATTATACAAAGCAGTGATTACATGCACTGTGCACACATGTTTTATTTCGTCAATAACAATGTTTATCAGCATGATGATGATGAATTTCAATAAATTAATGATTTGAATAAGCCTAGGGTTCTCTAATTTTTATTTTAAAAAATAAAACAAAAATAATAATGGAAATATTACCATTCCCTGGGATCATTCAATATTATTTGCCTATGACAATATTTATGAGCATGATAATGATAAAATCAAAATGAATTGACTGAACCTAAGATTCCCAAATTTTATTTTTGAAAAAATTAAAACAAAATTAACAATATTACCATTCCTGTATTTGTTTTTCCACAAGCCTATTAACTTTGCTTAAGGCTAATTAAAAATTATTTTTTTAAAATACAGGACAAGTAGTTCATCATGCTGCTGTGAGCTGTTTTCTTCTTATAACATACCATGACAGCAAAACATCCAGCAATAATGAATAAAGGATTGCCGGCCTAAAGATAGTCAGTCTGACATGTGGTACATAACCGAAAGCATCAATCACTTTCGGACAGATGGCTGAAAGTCTCGATCACTTTCGGCAGAAACCAAAATAAAACCAAAAGTTAACTTTTCTGTTTCGGCCGAAACCCAAAAATTCGTTGAAAGTTAACTTTTAAGTTTCGTCCGAAACCAAAAGTATGTCAAAAGTGATCAAATGGAAACTTTTGGCACCACAACCAAAGCCAAAATATGGTTGGTCTCTAGTATGAACTTTAAAAAAAAAACAACAACACATTTTTAGCATTTAGCAAACTGATTAAAGCAAATAAGATTTATCTTTGATATAAAAATTAATTTTTTTAAGCTTTTATGCTGAATACCTATACAAAACTTGTACTTGTAAAAAATAGCAAGAAAAAATTTCAACTGAATTTTTTAAAGTAGGGCGGTTACCTTCACAATAGCTATATCGTAACTTTTCTCCATACAAGTCAAATGTTCCAGAGTCAGCTCCCAGGAGTAGATGAAGCTCTGGCCAGATCCTGCTGGCCAGTCCAACCATGCCAGTTTGTGCAGCCTCACGGATTTCATTGGCTCGGCCAGGATTGGGCTTCAGCAAACTCTGCAGTTGGTCACGGACAGCTTCGTTTATCTTGAGGTCTGGGTTAATCTGACCTTGTTCAATATCATCGGCCAGCTGGGCCAGGTTTGATTCTAGTGTACAGAAAGCATTGTAAATGATTGAAGCGAAGTTGGCCTCAATCATCCCTACATGAGGGTCTAGGAGGGCAAACAGAAGGTAGATGTAGAGGGCTTCTGGTTCAGATCTAATCTCATAGGCAACTGGGGGTGTGGTGTAGATATGTAAAAGTCCTTTGGATCTGTCAATTAAAAAAACAAACTCTTTTTATCCTCTAGGCATATCATTTAAAAAAAAAAAATTAAATCACAAACCTTACCCCTGACGTATAGTGCATAAATGATAAAAAGTATCATATGAGATGGTCTATCATGGATCACATGCTTCTCTAGCAGCAGCTTTAATTTACTGCTTCTGATTTTGACATGGCCAAGCTACTCGGCTTTTTACACGTTTAAATCTTGCCATCTCTACGACATAAATACAGTGGAAATTTTCATTCAGCTGAGCACCTCTAAACTTATGTGCTTGAAATTTAATTATGAATCGTTAAACGCTATGTGTTCAAGTTTTACACAAAGGGCAACATTTTACATTTTTTAATCATAATACTAAATGATTGCAGATACCAAATAAGGAATAAAATAATGGTTTTTGTACTACTACAATAAATCACATAAAATGAGATTTCTACCTGTCAGGCGAAGCTGAATTAGGCCCGATCGGTACTTCATCCACAGTATATCTCCAGTTAGGTGTGTAAAATAGTTTCAGATCTTTATGCAGCAGTTTGGTTTTGGGGTAAGCCTCCACCATACATTTATACAACACTGAAATACCCTGAATATGAAATGCAAATGTTGAATCTTTCAAACAACTATTTTAGACAACTTTTGTAATATAAAAGAAACAGATAAGTTACCAGCTTTATTTCCTATTTACAAGTGTGATTTTAAAGCACACAAAACTCCCTCAGACTCAGGCATTTAATCAACAATGAAAAGCCCCTGGAGGATTTCAGAGTGCTAACTATTTACTTAAAACTAAATAAAATTAACAATGATGACTTAGTGTCACCTTTTTAAATTATAGCTTATAGATTAGATCTATTTATTTTGTAAAATAAACATATTGTTGATAACAAAATGGATTATTCAACATTATTGAATATCCAACATATTCAACATTATTGAATATCCAACATATTCAACATTATTGAATATCCAACATATTCAACATTATTCAACTTTCTACAGATACCATATGTCATCTATGCATGCATATTAATATTTAGACATATTATGTAACTACATATAGAATATAGCAATTATTTAGTTAACTTACTTCAAAAAAGAATAATTTGGTTTGTTTCTGCAACATGGGTAAAATTTTACTAGAACCAGAGGTGCCAGATGTGACAGCAAATATGATTGGATGTTCAGATGTTAGGACCTTCCTTTCTCCACTTATCATTCGACTGATGTAACGGGAATAATCTGGATAACGGGTCAGTGGATACAGTTGGAGAAAATCTTTGACTGATTTTACTTTATCTAACTGAAATAGGTGAAATAATATAATTTATTTTAAAAAAAAAAAAGTTCACAAGAGGAAATTTGGAAAGAGTTGAAAAAGATTCAGATGTTCACCCCATGGAGACACTGAATAATCAATCTTTTCCCTCCTTAAGGGCCCCTCATATTTGAAAAAAAAAAAGTTTTAATATTCATGAAAGTTTATTACACTACACGTGTTAAATAATTAACAAGCATTTTTTAACTAACTGCACCTGCATATCTCTGCTAAACTCTGTGTCAACATTCTCTTTGATCTGCTGCAGCAGGAATTCCCTCTGAGATGTTTTCACATCTTTGGTGGCCTTCTCCAGTTTCCTCATCATGACCTTACCGATGACATACAAGCTTCGAACAGCAAGGTAGTGTCGTGCGGCATCAATGAAGCCCTGGTCGGGATACACCTTGCATTTTCTAATGTCCAGTGCTACAAAGCCCAGGCCACATAGGCTAATGGCAGACACGCCTGTTATAATTTATGTTTAACCAAAATGTGAGCAACAATTATTCAACAAAAAGTAATTGTAAGGTACAAATGAAATCTGTAAAATAAAATAATTGTGGACTGTATCAACTATTTTGCAGTAGAGATTATAAGGAAGAAAAAATAAATAAGTCCTGCTTCATTAATGAATTGTGTAATATTTCATTAAAATTTAAATTTGGAAATCTGATTAGTTTTTGGCTGTTTGTGAGTTGATTTTTCGAGGCATGATTTAATATCACTTACATTTTTTATATAATTATATAAAGTGAAATGATCAGTAGCATAAAGATTAGTTACAGTAAGGAATATAACTTTTCATTACCTGCCAATACCTTCTTAGCTACTCCCATTTCTAAGAAAGCAATTGTGTACAGGATAACCAGGTTAAGCAATATAAATAGGAATGTTGCTGAGGAAGGAAATATAAAATAAATTTTTCGATGCTCTAATTCATGTGCAGTGTCAGAAAAATGAAATGTGTAATTTTTGTTTTCAATAAACTGCTTTAACATTTTAAAAATGGATAAATAATATAAATGGTACATGTATGTGAGAAGCTCTGTATACGCTTACCTTAATTTTTAAGGGTTGAAACAGGGTCCAGTAGTGTTATTAAGGGGGCGAGGGGGTAGGTCAGTACCACAAGTGATAATTTTGTCCAAGTTAATTTCCTACACTATGTTTTTTGAAATTTGCCCTGAGGGGCATTTAGTCAAGGTACGCCATTGGGTAAATTCCAAGGTCTGAAAAGTCACATCTTGTGTGTTGGGTATTTGAGGATACAGAGATTATTTATTAATTCATGTTTCTCACTTGAACCTACTTTATAAGAAATGAATTTTTTCGCTTTGTCCAAAGTCCTTGAATTGTTAAGTAATTAGAAATTTATTATAGTCACAAAAAGACTAGTGAGTTTAAATTCTGGCATATTAATTCTCTCTTCCCATAGGGAATGGATGGGGGTCATAGGGTTCAGGCCTTATATTAAAAAAAAGCCTCAATTTTAAATGTAGAATTTTTTCATAAATTAACTCACAATGCCCAATACAAGCTTAGAACTTGACAGTCTTTACATCTCAAATTTGACCTTAGATAATTTAAATATGGAATTTGATACCAACCAAGTTATGATACTAACAATGTGTACGAGACTTTTTAAGATAAGAAAAATTAATTATTACCAAACTGAGTTTGAAACCAGGACGAAATTCAAACAGACTGGGACAACATTCCTAAATCAGAAAAATCCCAGGTAAACCAAGATCTCACTAAGCTAAGGTATAAATCTAGCTCACAATACTCAGAGAGCGTTTGAGAGTTGCAATTGGTGTTATTGAAAAACGTGGTTACTACAGTCAGCGGCCATCTATAAATGATGTCATGCATCTAGAGGGTAGGGGGGAGATCAGGAATTTCTGATAATGTATGATGAGGCAAATGTGTGACAATGGAGAGGGGGTTCCAAAATCTGCCAAAATAGTCATTTATGTATGGGCTCCATATGGAATGGCCTGTGTGACTTGTGCAGGACAATACTATAGAGCTTAAAAAAAATCTATTGAAGTTTACAGATCAACATGTAGCTATTAAGACTTCCAAGTAAGATAATTTCAAAATTCATGTGTGAGTGTGGGTCAAACACAAAGCCCAACCAAAATCTCTGAAACTGAAGTTATTACATTTTGTAATACTTAGAGTAGCCATTGTTGTGGTGTTACCAGTACTAGTACTGCCTATCCTGCCAAAGACAATAAGGGACTGGAACAAGCTTCCAAAAGCAACAGTTGAGGTGGCTACACTTGATCGACACAATTGTGTCTATTGCCTCCTGTCTTCCAACCCCCAGTTCATAACACCACTGCTGAGTAGCCCTTGCAACCAGTGAAGTATCCCCTTGAAAACCATGCACAGTAACATAGCAAACCCCTCTGAAAGATAGGAGCCAGAATGATCAATTCATTGATCGTGGGCCCTCAAAATAAAGAAGAAGTATCCTCACCAACTCCTAAGACTTAAAAATCCCTCACTAACCCTGCTTAAACTTAAAAGTTGTTGACAGTTGATTTACTTCCACACATTGACCATGGACAAGATATAAGGCTAATAGTTACTAATAGTGTAGCCTAAAAGTAAACAATGTTTAATTAAAAGTTAATAGTTAATAGGGCCTAACTTATTAAATTAAGTTAAGTTGTATATAAGACTATAATTAAGTATTGTCATATTCCAACTATTTGGTCCCAGATAACAAGTTAACAAGTGTTAAGTAGACCAGTGACATCAATCTTGGTGATGATAATACTACTACTACTAATACTAAGTAATACTTATATGATTTAATTATTATGATAAGGATAAGTTATCATGTCCTATCAGCCTATCATGATAATCATAAATGAATCGAATAATTTTTCAATTCAATAATCAATAATAATTAATAATTGAAAAATAAGGCTAAGGACATTGAGTTTGAATTAACACTCTTAAACTTAAACCAGATCAAATAAAGCATACTAATTTTTAGGCCTAGTTATTTAGGTAGAATCTAGATTGAATTCAAGTTATTGCATGTAATGGAATATTATAATAATGTTTTAATTTTTAATCTAGGACTCAGTGTTCAATTTCTATTTCATCTGAATCTGATCACAAGTCAGCTGATACCGACGATCTTTAAAAAAAAAAATCATAGTCATAGAATCATAAGGACTGTAAGAATTTTTATGGAAACGGAAAGGAACAATTCGACCCTAGGAACACAAAAGTGAAAAAAATGTTACTTTACCGAAGTTTACCTTAGGCAAATCAAATAACATTTTAGTTTTATTTGTATCTCATTCTGAGTTCAAATAGAGTTCAACGAAAATAGAAAAACATGGGCGCTGCCATTTTTTTAAAAATAATGTCAAGGGGAAACTACTACAATATACAAAAAATATGATTCTTCCCTCCCTTTACTTTAAATTAAAAGCTCTCAATTTGCGTAGATCATGCTTTTAAAAAGGGTCTATCAACGGTCCATTGAACAAACCAAACCAATGTTAAACCTGCTTTCGTGCCCAATCACAATGACCAATAACTGTCATTCGATCGCATTTTCATTATAATAAAAACATGTTTCTTCCTAATGACTTGTAGATCGTATGTCAATCTGTATATGTTGTATTATGTTTGAAGATCAGGACCTTGTGAAAAAAGATTCCCTTGTTCCACACGGTTAGACACTTTGGCTTCTAAACTGACAGTAAACTGGGCATGATCCCTACCATCAGTTCTGTGGTCAGGGCTGGTTTCTGTCATCTACGCGCCCTGGGTCAGCTGGGTCCTCAACTTAATAAGAGAACAGCCAATGCCGTCACTCTAATCCAGTCAAGATAGATTAGATTACTGCAACAGTTGTTTGTGGGTTTTACCACAAAACCGAATTCAGAGACTCCAGAAGATACAAAAATACTGCAGCACGCATTGTATCGCGTGAAAAGAAATCTGACCAAACTACCCCAGTTCTTAAAGATCTCTGCTAGCTTCCTGCGAGTGAGCGCATTGACCACAAAATTATGTCCCTGCCGTATCGCTGTATAGAAGGCTCTGCACGTATAAATATCTTCAAAAACTGATTTCTAAAAATGTATCCCTACGCAACCTGTGCTCTTCAACTGTTTTCAACGCAGTCCTTACTGAGAGTTCCCAGTGCGGATAAACACAGAAAGAAGTCCTTCGGCGTGAGCTTGATGTACTTGTATTGCTGTACAGTAGTCCCGTATTTTTATTGATGCACCTGTATTGCTGTACAGTAGTCCCGTATTTTTATTGATGCACTTGTATTGATGTATTTCAAACATACATTTTTTATTATACCCATGTTGGGTGAATTATTATTTGACTTTCTCGATGGATTTAGAACGCAAAACGAAAGCAACAAACTATTTTCTCTGCAATTTCAGTTGTACAAATTCCTTTTTATTTTCTTCTTCTTTCCGTCAAACCAAGTTAAATTAAAATGTAAAACAACAACTACAAACAATTAATAAAGTATTATTTTAAAATTATTTTGTATACTAAAAATGATTATTCAAAATGATTATTGATGTCTTCACCATATCAACTTGTTGTCGTGACGTCGTTGTATTGTTACAGTTGCGTCCCTTTGCTTGGAATGAGTGAGGCCCGTGATTCGTCAGTTGAGAGGTGAGAGGCCATGTGATCTTGCTTGTGACAAGCCATTAAGTAGACACGCAGCTGAACAGACGTCTTAGTGTTCCTTGTGTGTTAGCCACAATAATACTAAATATATAACATCAAATTGCCTAAAAAATTTTTTAGTGTAATGAATCCATCTTCCGATTGGGTGTCTACATTATGACTAATAATAATAAGCTGAACATCACTGGTGAAATAATTATGCCACCTAGACTCAAGAGGTGGGGGAATAAGGATTTGTGGGTGGGGTTGTGCTAACAGGTCAGATAATCTGTAAGTCAAGGGGGATAAAAAGCAATGTGTTCTTTTAATCTCTCTTTGGTCTAATCCTCGCCGTAGGAGTCCACCTCTGTCACAGTTTCCTTCTGGCCACGTTATTAGGGTCCATTCGTGTCCTTTTCATCACATTGTTTACGCTTGATGAAACCACGGGCAGAAAGATTGTAGCGGTGGGGAAGAGTCCTGCCGAGGACAATGAATTTAATTTTCAGATTTGTTAACACGGGTGGAAATTTCTGATCTGTTCTGTAATTAGAGTTATTATTCTTTGAAGAGGAACTACGGTTGTCAGATTTGGTGATCTATTCAAATGTGGCTAGCAGAATCAGCTGATGCGCACATCCTCGTTGACAGTAGATTTGTAAAGAGAGTTTGCAAACGTTTTCATAACAGAAAACACAACAATCTAAAAATATTTAAATTAAGGATCAAGTCCTGTTTGAAAGCTGAATAATATCGGGCCATTTTATCTAGTTATGTTATTTATTTATTTTTTAATAAGAGAAGAGAATTGATTAACACACAGAATTCAGCGTTAGATATTCGAGCAGCCAGCTCAATACAATGCCCCCAGGATATAAGTAGCGATTCCAATACAATTCCCTCTCAGGATAAAAGTAGCAATCCCAATACAATGCCCTCAGGCTACGTAGCAATCACAATTCAAAATCCTCTCAGTAGCTATTCCAAAGCAATGCCACCAGGACTTAGGTAGCAATACCAATACAATGCCGTCTTCGGATACAAGTAGCAATCCCAATACAATCCCCTCTCATGATATAAGTAAGAATTCCAATGCAATGCCCTCAGGATATAAGTATAAGTAGTAATCACAATACTACTCCATTTAAGCATATCCTAATCAATGAGTGGGTGGCCTCGTTACAAGGGCGCCAATTTCAGGAATTGCAATGATTTTAGTTAACCATTGATGGGGAGGAGGGAAGAGGGTGATGTCGAAAAGCCTAATTTCGGCTCTACACGTAAGGCAGTGTATAGCAACTCTGACACTACTTCATATGTTGCCTCAAGTAGCCAACCCCTTATTTAATTGTGAGGTCTGCATGTAACAATCTCCAACTGATAATTGTGAGGTCTGCATGTAACAATCTCTGTTTATGAGACTTGTATGCGTTTGCCTTGTCGACACACACGCGCACGCACGCAAACACACACAACATTGAGCACAAAAAACACAATAAATACAACGCTATATTTTGTTTTTCATTACAAAAAAAATGTGACTAAATAAAATGTTTATTATGGACTTTGTTCCGGGGAGGCAAATCATGGCAAAACATAAATGACAAAATGTCAAACCTTTTGTTGACAAGAGTAAGTAGATAATCAAGAATTGTACATACGTCATCGGAGTTACCATAACAACGGGTAAACAGAAATTCTTAAATTTAAATACACACCATATTCAGATACGTACAATAAAAATGTTCTTTCATGACAAGACGTTTAAAATCACAAGCACAGGGGCGAAGCAGGTACGGAGAAATGCTTCATATTTAAAACAAAAAAACATATTTGCCCATTGACCAGGCCTCGATTTACAATTATATATTTATTTTTGAAACCTAATCGCTTAATACAATCTTTACTATCTTTGAACTACATTATAATGCCGCTCTTTGTAAGGACATTTGACAAAATACTGAAATGTGTAACAATTTCTGTCTACACGCTCCATGACTGCTGCTCCCTTAGCCAATGCAAGGTCGGTTTTATAGTTATAGGAAATCATTTCCTTAAAGGAAAAGTAAAGGGAGTTTCACTAACACTCAGGATATTTCAAGTTGCAAACATTGACATACCGGTGCAAAGTTCAAAGAATATGATATACCGGTGCACAGTTCAAAGAATATGACTACCGGTGCATAGTTCAAAGAATATGACATACCGGTGCATAGTTCAAAGAATATGACATACCGGTGCACAGTTCAAAGAATATGACATATCGGTGCATAGTTCAATACAGACTCAGAAAAGAATGTCACTTTAAATTCTGATTGCCTCAGTTCAAGCCCAACATGCCGCTCAAAAACTGACCACACATTATCATATTATGAAAATCTTAAACACTTGCAACAGCCTGATCATCACATTGTATATTCTGCAATCAAATATGGTGAACAATCAATAAATACATAGTTAATTCCTGACTACCTGTCAGTCATATATATAAAAGTAAAGTTTCAACCACACAAGCCGCTCTGCCTGTCGGCCAATTTGAAATGATATATGTATATAATTAGAAATAAATAATATAACATACAAAAAAAAATAAATAAATCAACAGTCTGGCCTACCTGGCAGACTGACTTAGTAAAGAACATACATTTTTTTCTCTCCCTCTTTCGGGGAGAAATTGATTTCAACTAGGGCCCATTTAATACTGAAGCATGGATTTCACATTAAGGAATCCAGGTCTGGGGGGGGGGGGAGTGTAAAAAATGGAAACATTAATTGCATGTCAAAATAAAACATTTAAAACAAATCGAATTAAAAATAATTGACTCTCGTGCGTTTGTTTCAAAGTCAGGACCTCCTATCAAATATGTCATGTTTTATTAATAGGTTTACATGTCACACCGCGTCACAAGCCAATAGTAAACAGGCCATTGACTTGGTTGCATGGTAAATGAAAAACGAAATATGACACTTTATTTGAGTAAAGATAGCATTGTCATTGATACTATTTATACCAAGGCAAATTTGTTATCAATTCAATATGAATTCAAGAAAAATGTTGAATAACTCTTGTTTAATGTCATTAAAAAAAAAATTATACGGAGTTTAAGTACAGTATAACAGTGATACCAAACCTATGGTCCGCGAATCACTTCTTGTTACAGGCAAAGTGTGACAGTATAACAGTGATTCCAAACCTATGGTCCGCGAATCACTTCTTGTTACAGGCAAAGTGTGACAGTATAACAGTGATTCCAAACCTATGGTCCGCGAATCACTTCTTGTTACAGGCATCACTTCTTGTTACAGGCATCACTTCTTGTTACAGGCATCACTTCTTGTTACAGGCATCACTTCTTGTTACAGGCATCACTTCTTGTTACAGGCATCACTTCTTGTTACAGGCATCACTTCTTGTTACAGGCATCACTTCTTGTTACAGGCATCACTTCTTGTTACAGGCATCACTTCTTGTTACAGGCATCACTTCTTGTTACAGGCATCACTTCTTGTTACAGGCATCACTTCTTGTTACAGGCATCACTTCTTGTTACAGGCAAAGTGTGAACTTTTTATTCTAGTCACAAGCACTTTGCAATTCAAAATGCCATTCAGGTTCAGACTGTTGCAAGAATGAAGAAAAAAAAACCCACCAACAACCTAGAAAACTTCTAATAACCGTTTTGTAGTTTAATGTT